TTTCTGGAAGGTGCTGTAAATTGTGAGTAACACGCAAAATAAACTAATATCTGTTTCATTTCATTCGTAATAAACAAATAAAAAACTCATCAATCTTATTGCGTCAGTATAAATAGAACCCCAGCTATTCAATTATATAAATAGTTAGGTAATATCCAATGGAAGTAAAATTTAAATCCTCATTGTACTTTTAAAATAATTGAGCTTTTAAAATAATTCTTTTTGATTTGATTGATTGAAATCAATCAAATCAAAAAGAGTCATATTATTTAATTGACAATGTCTGGAAAGTGAACGCCAGTAAATTAAATTATACAATTTCAATTACTTGTGTACACCTTGTTATTCCTATTTATAATTATATACTATACTAGCTGGTGCCCGCGACTTCGTTCGCGTGGAATTTGAAAAGCGCTGCATTAGTGAGTTCGATTCCCGGACCAGGCAAAATGTTATAGGGTTTTTCTGAGAGAAAAATAGCCTAAGTTACTCCTTCTATAGACAGCTACTTAGTAGTAAAATATTATCAAAATCGGTCATGCCGTTTTGTAGATTACCAGGAACAAACAGACAGACAGAGATACAGAAGGACAGCCAGACAAAAAATATTTAAACTGGTTTTTAGGCATAGGTATGCGTGCAAATAATAGTGTGGCATGAAAAAAAATCTATTATTTTGACATTACAAAAAGACACTTCAATTTTATTTATTTGTATAGATATGATAATTTGCTACTGAAAAATTTTGTACAGTTTTTTTGATAAGGGACGTGTTTATTCAGTTTCAAAAGAATGATTAAAGAGAAAAAAGCTTGAAGACAATGCGTGTATAAATAACCAACTACGCAATAACTAAGAGAAAGTACATGTGATAAGTAGATTCCCGATATAAAAAATCTCAGCAACAGTCACAATAGCACTTGAAAACGAGATTTGAAAACAGTACTATGGAGACACACAATAGCTAGGAGAGTTTAAAATTATAATCCCTAGGCTATTTAATAAGCTTTGAACGAGTTGAACAAAGTGAGTTATGAAACCCTAACTTTTCTACTGCTTCTAGCCGTCATAATCCCTACTAATATCATAGATGCGAAAGTTACTCTGTCTGTCACGCTATCACGGCTAATGTCCAGTCATTACGAGTATAGTAAGTTCACCTCGGAATTCGAGATACCCAGTTGTAAGTCTGTAAATACTTGTATATTGACACCCTAAAAGTTGTCTCAAAACCTACATATGGTAGGGTGTAAGCAACTATTAAATTTCAAGGTCAAAGGTCACAAAAATCGTTTTTTTGCGCTTTTTTTGGAAATATCTCATTCCCTATGGGTTTTTTGCTATTTTTATTTATTATCAATATTGTAGAATACAAAATTCTCTACAAATTTTGTTGTACGGTGAACCGTTTTCGAGATAGAGGGCCCATGTAATTGCAGAATTGTTAATGAAAATATAGGAATTATATTTGAATTTTAACCTAATTAATATTAATAACTTCTTACATGATGAAAAAAAAACAAATAAATTATGAATTAATCTTTTTATTAAAAAATATCATTGAATACATTTATTTTTATTGAAAGTAAAAAAATGGAATACAGGGTACAAAAACTACAATTTATAATTTTAATCATCTTCTTCCTCTTCATCGTCGTCTTCTGGCTGCTGGTAAATTTCAAACTGGTCGTCGTCGTCATGATTTCGGGGTCAAAGGTTCAATCTTCGTTAATGTCGCTCTGATATATTAGAGTATTGAGACAAGCTTGCCCATTACATTGGCCACAAGCTAAAGAGCATTGCAAGCCCGCTTTCCTGCATCGTATAATTCCCAGGTATAATTTTTGACGTAGTGGAAAAATTTTAAAATTTACAGATTTTAAAGAGGCACTAAATTATTTTCTATTTAAAATGTCATTAGTGTAAATGGGAATATAATTAAATTGTGATTTAAGTTTTTCTGTTAATTACTTTTTAATTTTAGTAAACCGTTATCAGTATTATTGAATAGATATAGAATTAATGCATGAAGAACATGATAAAATATAATAATATAGTTAATAAAAATTGTCAAATATTTATAATCATTGATTTATCGATAGTTCATCAACTATACATATATGGCGTGCTTTCGACCGGAGGCACCGGTTGACCTGAAGTGATGCTGTGACCGCGCGCTCTCCGCCCTCTATCTCGAAAGCGGTTCACCGTATAAAACATTTTTTTAAACAAAATTTGTAGAGAATTTTGTATTGTACAATATTGATAATAAATACAAATAGCAAAAAACTCATAGGAAATGAGAAATTTCCAAAAAAAGCGCAAAAAAACGATTTTTGTGACCTTTGACCTTGAAATTTAATAGTTGCTTACACCCTACCATATGTAGGTTTTGAGACAACTTTTAGGGTGTCAATATACAAGTATTTACAGACTTACAGCTGGGTATCTCGAATTCCGAGATTCTTACCTAATTTAAGCTTAAATGACTGCACTATAAACCGCTGACTAGATTATAATGCAATTTGGCATTTAGATGCTTTGATTCTTGAGGAAGGATATAAGCTTTTCACCGCAATAACCAACATATAAGCGAGCGGAGCTGCGAGTAAAATCTAGCGATCTGCATACACTTAAACAAATCATCTCTTTTTTACACGCTTTTTATTAGCTTCAAATGAATGTTTGTTTGTATGTTTGTAACCAACTCCTTTGGGTGTGATTTTGACTGAATTTAAACGGTCAGAATTCGTTCAAACTTTGTAGATATATCGAGGACCGATGACAATACACTAATTAAAAAAAAAAAAAAACACGCTTTCTATAGAAAACCAAACTAAAAAATAGAAAATAAATTTGAAAAAAAGCGTTGAGTGCCTGTTGTCAATAGTAAAAAGCACCCCACGCTCTTTTTCAAATTTATTTTCTATTTTTTAGTTTGGTTTTCTATAGAAAGCGTGTTTTTTACTTTTAAAACTATATTTTTTTACACATATGTACGACTTATGCAAACAAAAAGCAAAAAAATTGTAAATCTTATAAATTTATTACATACCCATTTGTATGTCCGTGTGGAGACGGATTAACAAAGAATACGGAGTGTCACCACGCCTATTCATCCCGTGGGTTTCGTAAAAGCCGACTAAGGGAGCAAGTTACGCAGGACAACAGCACTGCAAAGAGAAGGAAAACTTGAAACAAACACTATACCAACGCGTCTGGCCAGCGTTGTGTAATAGGCCAAAACCTTCTTTCTAAAGAGAAGCCTATGTACAGCAGTGGACTAAATACTAAGGGATACTTATGACGGTGATGATGACATTTGTATTGCAATAGTTGAGATAAGTTGCATGAAGTAATATTATCGAACAAAACACACACACATAAATTGTAGATAAATAATATAGAACTGGTATTTTTATATTTGGATTTTTTTGACTGCTATAAACAAACACATCGTCTATAAAGGTAAAGTTACAATATCTAGGTACTAAAATATATGTTATGAACTTAAATATTAAGCAGTTGTTCCAATTTATACATGTGGGTAATTTGTGTACATTCTCTGCCACAAAGATAATATAAATACTCTCAACATATTTTTGTAATTAGTTTTTTTCAATGGATATTTTTTTGACAGCATTTTGGCAAAACATTCCATCACATTCGCTATAACAGGAATGGAGACGCCTTTGTGTCTTCTGCGGGAAGAGAGCACTACCTACCTCGTGGTCATATAAGTTGAGGTAGTTTGTGGACAGGATTCGCGTTTCGTAAAAAATCTGTGAAAATGAATCATCATTTTGTTCCAGTCCTTTTTCCATTTTTTTTTATGGTCGGCGTAATTTGGATGCTAGTTATTTAAAAAGCTGGCATGATACCAAGCCTGTATGGAAATTTTATGGTTTATAGACGGGACGAAAAGATGAAGCTAAATTTCTGTAACAAAATAGATAGGAACGGACAAAAAAGAAAATTAGAGTAAGGAATAAAGCAAGACTTTGATTGGGAGGCGGGACGGCAACTGTAGTAGCTCAAACAAGAATAGATTACATACCCGTATTAAGATTGGAGAGGGTAGGATATCAATAATTCTCGACTAAAGATAGAGAAGGCAGAGAGAGATTGAGGTAGATTTTCGAGATTGAGGGAAGGCAGGATCAGGACGTAAGCACTTGCATTATTTCCTGTATTTCACGACAACCATTTTAATTTACCGATGGTACCTGATGGTACCGCTTTGGGTAATAAAATAGTCTAGTCGTTATGCAAAGCACGCAACACGTCGATGTGATACAAGTATTTCCATTATTTATTAGTATAACGGTAGCTTAAATGCCTTAAAGCGTGTATACGTCTGCGATTTTTTGTCGCATCAGAAGGTCAATTCTCGTAATAAAAGTTCGGTCTCCATTTAGGTCCGATCAACTTTCGATCTCACAGCTGTCATAAAAGGTATTTTCGTAGTAAAGTATTAAACATCCAACGTTCACTGTAATGTGATTATATCATATTGGGATCGAGGATTGAATAGGTAATCTGCTAGTCTTAGTAACACTTTACTATTTTTCAAAATGTTCACCTAAGGATCATTTGTGCTAAATTTCATGCTTCTAGACCAAGCGATTTCAACTGTGCGTTCATCGGTCAGTCAGTGAATCAGTCTGTTAGCTTCTTATTTTATATATAGATGTAGTTAATCTGTATATACTTGTCGTAATTCCTTCAATAATCCTCAAATATTTGTCGCAATGGTGTCGATAATTCGCAAGTATTTGTCGCAATTGTGTAGACAGCCTGAGCTGACATTACTTTAGGACGAGCACATATGTTCATAGAAGCCCCGAAGGCTGTCACTATCAACAAGTGTTATGACAAATTCTATTAAGTTCTATGTGGGTGATTTATATGTAATCTAGTAACATTATAGATAAAGTGCCTATATAACTGAGTTAAATATCATTATTTCATTTTAAATTCGTATTTGTAAAGCACTGACAATGTGGACATCTATGAAATTATTTGGGTTTGTTATTCATTTAGTGTTTAGTTCAGGTGAGTGAATGATATTTATTTTATTATTATTCTGTTTTCAACTTAAGAAATAAATACCAGTTTTAATCAAAAAGTTGTAATCAAAAATAACCGTAAGAACGAACCTGACGGTTGTGTTTTTGGCAATGTTGAAAAAAGTTTTCTTTAAATAAAAGTCGCAGATTTGGGTTAAAGAGAAAGAATATATGAGACATAGTATGGTAGACTTTTTGCACTATGATATACTTTAATTTAAACAAGAAATTAGCTTCATAGTCGTCATGAAAATTTATAGTAAAGTATAGATGAGCATGCGTTAAGGCTGGCCTTTCGCCAATATATTGGTGCCAATTCTGTTGTCAAATATTACGTTATCTAATTAAGGAAAAAATTATGCTTTCGTTTTTATTAATTCTCACAAAACACATACTTACATAAAAAAAACATGAATTTACACACATAACATGATACTGTAACTTACTAATTTCTTCTTTTTAATTTTTATTGTATGTAATTATTATCTATACTACTTATCTATCTATACTTCCATACTTATATTATGAACTAGCTGACCCTGCAAACGTGGTTTTGTTATTTACATATTTTAATTTAACTTTTTTTTTTTAATTTCTTAAAATCCGTTCTTAGTTGACCTCTACTCGGTGAAAAGAATATTCCTACCAAATTTCAAGTCTTTAGCTCTAATGGTTCCAGAGATATCGTGATGAGTGACTATATACGTGGAAATCTCTTATAATATATATATATATATATATATATATATATATATATAGAAGATGTGAAAGTGAGTTGGTTTGTTACGTTATCACGTCCAGACCACTAAACCAATTTTGAAAATTCTTTCACCATTCGAAAGCTACATTATCAGCGAGTAACATTGGCTACTTTTTACCACGATTACCGACTTACACGCGGACGGAGCAGCGGGCAAAAGCTAGTAGTGTTATAAAAACGGTCAGACATATGTATATAAGTATTTGTTTGCAGAGGGACAGGTGTCATGATCTGTAATACAGCTTCAACCTATAAAATACCCCTATAACATGTGCACATTATAACAGTGTGGTATAATTTAAGTATAGGTAGGTCATAATCTCCTTTCTAAGGATGCGTTTCTACTGACGCGGAGCTGCCCTAGGTGGAGAGGTGAGGAGCAGTTAAAAGTGGTGAGAATGGAAACTCTATTGAAGCGGAGCTGGGCGGAGTAGAGTTGAGCTGAGCAGACCAAAGGTGCATTGAGCAGCGTCCCGATTAGTCAAATATCTTGGAGACATCATACGACATGATGTCGGTAAAGAAAAGAATGCTTGAAACATATTATTTGGATGGCACCACAGCCTGCAAGACTCTATTTTATCCAGCTCGGGGCCGCGTGTTCTTCTACTTTATTTGAAAGTCCGCTTATCTAAACTCTTCTCCATACTGTTTCCACTGATGTGGAATGGAGATTTTGAGTACTGTGATTGGCCAATTCTTAGTCCGTTCCTCTCCACTCCGCCCAGCAGCGTCAGTGGAAACGCACCCTTAGGAGAGGCGTATGTCTGGATTGGATTGGAGTGGATTACCAAAGGCTATTGATAATAATGAGATAATTATGAATAATTTGTTGATTGGTAATTTGGTACGAGTACGTAAAGTATAGTAACCATTTCTTAACTTTGTAAACAAATAAGCACACAAATCCTGTGATGGATGCGAAACCATCGATAAATGACACACACTCTAATTTACTTTACATTATTCCAGTTGAATCATACGACTTATCCAGTATATTAAACTTAGGCGGCCTTCTGCTACCTTCAGAACGAACGACAAAGCCATACACAGACAGAATCGTGGGGGGCCATAATGCGTCCATAGAAGACTTTCCCTACCAAGTAAACTTAGTTGTGAATAAATCGTATTTTTGCGGGGGAATCATTCTTAGTGAGAAATACGTGATGACAGCAGGACATTGTGCGCAAAAGTAAGTATAAGGATTTTGTATTAAGGTCTGAAAGAATCATGAGAAAGATCATGTCAATTGAGACTTACTCGCAATAATATTACGATTCTTTTATTGCACGAGGTTTAGGCGTCACAGGGTACACCAGGGACTTCCTTTCTAGGGTATACCTGGTTCCCCGGCTATAAATAAAGTACCCGAGACGGCGTGCGGTTTTAGTCGGTTCGAGTCCGACATGATAGGTGGTATACGAGGGGATTTCCGCACGGAAAAAAAAAGGCGTCACAGGGTAGAAGACTGTCATGTCAAATCAGTATCTTTTTATTAAACGTCAAACGATAGAGTGATGTACATTTTTGAATGAAATACTATTGCGTGACGTCATATCTAGCAAATCAAATCATTTATTTTATTATTATTATTATCTTTATTTTATAAAATAAACATATAAATTACATTTTTAAATATATTTATATACGAAAACAAAAAAAAAAAATATATATAAAAAATAGTGTCCCATCTGCATGGGGTACAGGGACCAAGATATTGGTGGTTAGGACTCCAGAGACAGAAACTTCCTCACAATACGTGCCGTATCGAGGAGAACTGCCTAACGCGATCCTCTGAAGATGTTGGTCGAGGCTCTTAGCAACTAATCCATGGGCCGATATGACTATCGGTACAACGATTGCCGAATCAACATCCCACATGTCGACAATCTCGTGGGCCAATTCCAAATACTTTACTTGTTTATCTTTTTCAACTTTTAAGAGATTGACGTCATGTGGAATGGTAATGTCAACAATCATTGCTCGGCGCTCTAATCGGTCTATTACTACTATATCAGGTTTATTGGCAACAATAGTCCTGTCAGTGATAATAGGGCGATCCCAGTACAACGTTGCACGATCATTTGCAATAACTAGGTCGGGCACATATTTATAGTACGGTAACTCTACAGTTGCTGCAGTTGCAGCTGATGGACTATCCTGGCTACTTGGTTGTGTCTATGCAAGTACTCGCCGTTTGCAAGACGAAAACAACCGGAAATTATATGTCTGAGGCTTTCACCAGGACAATGACATGCCCGACAAATGTCTATTGTGCCGTCCTCCAGGATATACTTCCGATAATTATTCGTCATAACAACTTCATCAGTAATTGCAACGACAAAATCTTCAGTTTCCCCGAAGAGGTCACCGAATCGTAGCCAGAATACAGACGCTAGTTGGTCTACCTCAGGCCTGTTCAAGGCCCGATGAAAACGTCCATGCAGCACTTTGCCCTTCCATATCTCCTTACGATCAGTAATGTTGAGTACTGCAAATTTGCGCCAGTTCTCTTTACCTAGACCAAGCGGAGTGAGTCCGTTATCAACTGCTACTACATCCCTATGCATATCCACATCGATAGACAGGAAGTAATTTCTGAGCTTACATATCTCACGATTGTGGAGGGTCTTCACATCACATCATCACATCAACAGCCTTTAATAGTCCACTGCTGGACATAGGCCTCTGATTAGAAAGGAGGTTTTGGCCTACAATACCACGCTGGCCAGTCCTACGTTAGCTCCCTTAGTCGGCTCTTACGACACCCACGGGATGAATAGGGGTGGTGACACTCCGTATTCTTAATCCGTCACCACACGGACGGAGGGTCTTAGCATTTAGAAAACCACGACCACCACATTTTCGTGGAATATATAAACTCATCACCGATGAACGTAGATGATGCATTCGGTACGCAGTAAGCAATGTACGAACTCTTATATCCAGGGTATTTAGTTCACACCAGGGACTTCCTTTTCACCAGGGACTTCCTTTCTAGGGTATACCTGGTTCCCCGGCTATTAGTACCCGAGACGGCGTGCGGTTTTAGTCGGTTCGAGGCCGACATGCCACCGACAGGTGGTATCCGAGGGGATTTCCGCACGAAAAAAAAAAAAAAAAAAGGGTATTTAGTTCAGTCTGAGTCCATCTAAGTATGTCAAAAGAGTATGTTAGAACTGGTATGACCCAATCATTATAGGCTCTCACCTTATTACCACCTGACAAAAAACTATTTAATACTTTTCTCAGGCGGCCAAAGAAGCATTCCTGTAACGATTGTTTCATAGTCAACTCATTTACACCTAACGCCTGTGACATACCCAGATATTTGTATGTTTCGTTAGCTGAGAGACACCTAAAGTGCGTGGAATCTGAAAGGTCCAACCTATCAGACTCCACAACCCTGCCTCTTTTTACATGCATGATTGCACACTTATCTACACCAAATTCCATCCTGATACATTTACTAGTTTTAGTTATTTCTAGTAAATTTATCAGTACGGAATTACTGGAAGCAAACAGTTTTAAATCATCCATGTAAAGGAGGTGTGATATAACCTTACCAGTTCTCTGCAAACGATAGCCTAGCCCTGAACCCTAGTACATATTATTTGTTATTATTATTATTATTTTACCATCTGGAAAATCTCCATCACTCACAAAATCAGGCTGCTCTCACCTGCTATAAACCCACCTCTCGTCCCTTCGGAATGTGTGATTCTGAGTATATCGGTCCACTCTTTTTTTGCCCATGCATTAACTTTCTGTTTCAGAAAGTCAATGCGCTCTGTGACTCGTGCCATATAATCACAGGACCTGATATCAGTTCCCAAAAAAGCCTGATTCACAAAGCGCATTACTCTCGGGCGTGTGTTGCCCGATCTGAAACAGATAAGCTTGACAATGAGTACCCTTGCCTCAGCAATACGACGTTCAATCCTACTTCTACTACTACTATCCTAAGAGACTTAGGTCGAGGAGCCATGTCAACTCTTGGGAATTTGACACGAGCTACTCGAAATGAAGTAATGACCTCACAATACAGAATTGAATGTGTTTCACCGAGGTTTTCACATTTTTCAAAATATGTTGATAATATTATAGAATCAAGGGCACACACTAGGGCTTTATTTCGCTAATGCATCGGCAAACGAGGTAAACGTGGTCTGTTTACAAAATTCATGGACCCATATTCCAGGATAGCACCTTCCAAAGTATTCCTTATTATATCATTGTACTGGGTACTTACGGAAAGAGCATCAATTTCCTCTCCTCCAGCAGGAGACGCCTGTAGTAATTCAAGATCTTGATGTATATTATTATGAGAAGAAGGAAAAGTAGTGTTAGTTATCTGTAAGTCGGAGCGTAGCCTTTCAAGCACAGAGGTATCCAACAAATGAAATCGCTTAATAGCTCGCACTTAATCTGTTAACAGTTGGTTCAAGTTCCTGAAACAAAGTCAGTAAACGAGTACGATACGCAGTGAGATTAGCTTCTCCCTCTGTAGCCACAAAATATGCTCGCATGACGTTCTCGTTCATTGAAGAAGTCCATTTCATGCGACGCACATTACCACCGATAGCGGGAGCCCTATCCGAAGCCGATGGGCCTCGGGATCCAGGCAAACCGGTGGCCGGCCTCTCCCCTGCCGACGTACAGGTGTTGGCGACGTCGGCGAAGAGAAAAACTCGTCGCTTGAAGTTGAGCTCTACGCCTCAGCCACGCCCGGAACTTCTGTTCTGGTTTTCAGGGATGGCAAGACGGAGCGAATTATCCATTTTATTGTTTTTTAATTTGTTTTTCTTATTTTACGGTATTGTAAATTTATGGAAAATCTGTTTATTTTTAATTATTATTATTATTATATTCTATTACACCGATAGTTACGACAGGTCTCAAATATTAAACCGACAGCTTGCTCCAAAGCTGGTCGGCGCTGCGTCTGCCCTAGGGCGACTTTTGCCCAATTTGGGTGGACCCAGCGTCGCGACAAGACGGCTGTACACGGGGGTTGTCCGGTCAATGGCACTTTACGGTGCACCGGTGTGGGCGGCGGAGAAGGCCCGGGAGGACGACCTCCACTCGGACCCGATCCGCCGCCGGCGAACCGGGCGGCGGAGGCGCGCCTATCACCGCCTCATGCCGCCCTGAGTGTGGCCGCGGGTGGACGGGGTGGGTTTCCCCTCCACCCGTATTAGTTTGGCCAGCCGCGAGGGGGCGGCGTCCGCGTGTGCCGGACGTCGCCTAAAGAGAGGAGAATTTTGAGACGGAGCCCGCACCAGGAGCGGACTGGCGCTAGGAGGGGTCCGGATGTCTTAACAACAGCTGTTCCCGGATCCCTCCTGTTACAGGCGCAGAGTGGCACACCGTGTGGTTTTAGTCGGTCCGAGTCCGACACACCACCCCGCCGCAAACCCCGGTGGGGTGACGGTCCGAGGGGATTTCCACACGTTAAAAAAAAAAAAAAGGTCTCAAATATTAAAAAGACCAAATAAAAAGTATTTATTTGCAAGCCACAACAACGTGTGAGCGTTTATGATTCGTTTGGCACTGAGATAGTAGATATATCTACTATCTCAGTGCCAAACGAATCGTATCATAAACGAAATCCTAAACTACACAGAACTGAACTTTTTGAACTGAAAGCTTTTTGAAATGTTTTAAAAGGACTTTTTGTTTAAAAAAAAAAGATGTTTTAAGCAGAATAATACTAAACATAGTTAGAAAATGTAAAAATACACTCTTTCATACCGAATCAACTAAAGTGTACAAAACAATCCTCTGTCCTCCTCCTGGCTCTGTCAGCAGAAAAGCTTTGAGAGAGTTATAAATATCCGAATCGAATCGTTTTGTCATCAACGGAAACAAAATCTTTAATTCCTGGATAAATTTGTTCTGCTACATAATATAATATTACATCCAGACCATTGTGAACAAAGCACATAATGAAGATTTTTTTTCATGTTCACTCTATATTTAACACACATTGATTGTTATTTTACAGTTTACAGTATTGTGAATAATGCAGTGATTACTTATGAGTAATTTGAAAATCGATATTGCAGAGTAGATCCTTCAACTGTGGTCCTTCGAGCCGGTAGCAGTTTTCGGGGAAATGGAACTGTAATACCAGTGTCTAAAGTTACACCCCATCCACAATACGATGACCCGGCTTTTGACAAAGACGTAGCAGTGATAAAGACTACTAACCCGATAGAGTTTAATGACGTCATAAAACCCATTAAACTACCGCCTAAAGGGAGACCAATGGAAGCCAAATCTAAAATTCTAGTCAGTGGCTGGGGAAAGGCTAAGGTAAAACTTGAACTTTTGCTTGTTTTGAACGAAAATGTCTGTATTATTGTATGTTTTACTAGTAATTACTATTGTTGATTTTAGTTCGGAGCTAACAGTATCCCTGAACGTCTAATGGCCGTCGAGATACCGGTCGTGAACCACATATATTGTTATTTTATGTACCCCTCAGTGCTGACTGATAATATGTGGTGCGGGGGCAATTTTTTTTTTGGTGGAAAAGGAACGTGCCAAGTAGGTTTTGTCATAAATGTTTTATTCTTCATTCATTATTCTGTCGTTCACATATTCTTTCATTGATTCATGCTTTTGAATGAAGATTTGTGTATTTAAATACAGAAGGGTCAGAAAAGAGAAGAACACAGAGATAATTCAAATTGGTTTTTATTCCAAAATAATATAAATGCAAATCGGATTCAATGTTTATACAGAATAAGCATTGAATCCGATTTATAATAAAAGTAATTATATTGAATATTTACTTGGTTTGGATATTACTACAAAGCTTTTTTGTTATACAGGGTGATTCTGGCGGTGCTGCGACTCAGGACGGAATGGCTGTAGGCATCGTGTCGTTCGGTCGCGGCTGTGCTTACCCATTTTCCCCGAGTGTGTTCGCTGATATTGCAGCTCCTGCCATAAGAGATTTCATCACTGAACAAACTGGATTGTAAAAATTTTAATTAATTTAAAATTAAATCGAAACTGCTTTGCTAGTAAGACATATTTTGTACATTTATTGTATTGTTCTATAGAAATTGTGAATGTTATTTATTCCCATGATGTAATAGTTATAAATAAAGTGATTTGAATTACTCCTAGTTTTTTACGATATGAGCCGTCTATGAACGCCTGCAACTCATAAGTCACAAGCGTGTTCCCGGTTTTTGAGGTAGCCTTTTCTTGAATTTTACATCAGGCTGGAAATACCGCAGGCGACAAGTTATTATTATTCTGTAATGCAATCTGATGGGATTTGAGATATTTCATCCTACAGAGAATTTGGCAATATATAGAACAATAACACATACTGGCGATACGGCAAACGTAATGGGAGATGATCATAGGAGTAATGGACACTTACAACAATGGTAGGACTAACATCACGTTTTTTAAAATTACTCAACTAGAGTATGGTACATGACACTTTTGTGTTTCAGTTGGTTAATTCTTGCAGACAGAAGATTTATATTATAATACGACCTGCCGTCGTGTTGTTATTGTATCAGTCTAGCAGATCATAAATCTGATGCGTGCATATCACTGCACTTGTTTTAAAATGTCCGCTTAGTGTGTTTTCAATAATGATCACTGATCCAGCACTAATTACACTTTCCGGTAAACTATTCCAAATGGTCTCATTGCGATTTAGTAATGAGTCTTCTAGGGTTGCTAACAGACGGAGACCTAGTAAGCTTCAATGAGTGTCCTGGGTATTTGGATCAATTGGGTATTTGAATTCATAGTATAGCGGTTTCGGATGTCTTTTACATTGTAGTGTCCAGTTAATATTTTAAATGTTTCAATCAAGGCCCCGTTTTAAGAAGCTGACAATCCGACCATTCCGAAATATGTCAAAAAGTGACAATTAGACAATTTTTCTGTTTTATAAAACTTTTGAGCGACAGGTGACAATTTGTCGTTAAAAATGGTTTGAAAAAATGCCTTATGACGCCTTATACACCAATACAAATACAAAGGACAGCATCACTATAAAGATTCTTCTTTTTTAGTTAATGTTGGTTAACGGTCTAAACAAAAAAAAAATACAATTTGATGACGAATAAACTAGTTAAAATGAACTAAACCTTTTTTGCCATGTAGTGTCACCGTTCGGCTGTTTCCTTCCATTTTTTTTTTCATTTTTATATCGTGGGTCACTAAACTTCATAAAGAGTGGTATTTTTTATTTTCATAAATAAGGCCCGTAGTAGTATCAAACCAAACAATCATCATTCAGTGATTGATGCATTAATATTTGAGAAAATATAATAATCTGCCAAAAATTGTCAAAAGTCGACATAATTCTCACGACAATCCGACCATTGTCAGTAATAATTTGACTGTCATTTTTGCCCATATGTCGAGGTTTATTAAACGCTTTTTAAATGACGAATATGTCAAGATTTTACCTGCCGATTTTTGACATAGTTGTCACTTTTATAAAACAGCCTAATCGCGATAATTCTTCAATTTTGACACTTTTTGACATATTTATCAAAATATCAGCTTCATAAAACAGGGTCCAGATCTCGCCTTTGCCTGTTGTTTTGTTCTATGTATTGGTTGTGCGAGGCAAAAAGTATCTTAAAAGCGCACAGCGCAGGAGTGTCAATTATCCAAGTGGATGGAAATTTTGCAGCGTGTAACGATGGCGGAAAGCTGTGGCCGGTATTAGTCCGAACAATTCCTCGGAGCTCTCTCCATGATATAGGCGATAGAGAATGCAGAGTGAAGCTACGTCTCATAATGGTTCCATAATATCCTAATAATTAAGAATTGGCTGTATATTTTTATTATGAATATTTGGCGGTATTTTCTCCATCTATGGACATTAAACAATAATGATAAATGATATTGTTATAAACTAACTTCAAAAAAGATTAAAAAATAAAATAAATACACTTCTGCTCTCGTCATTACTTTACTTTCATTTTTAGAAACCTAACCACTGGGGGTTAAATTCGGTCAAAGAAAGATGACCAATGGATTGAAATCTATGTTCTACCCCTGGGGGTTAAACATGGGCAACATTTAGGGGTTGAGCATGGACGGGGGTGGAGATTGTGGGGGTTGAACGTGGACTAAACCGTCTGCGCGGCATCATGACATAAGAGGACAGCAACTAGTTTCCTTTGTCTGACTGAGGCCTAATATATAATGATAGTGGAAGCTGGAGACAAATATTTTTACTCAAAGATTAAAATGTCATTAAACACAAACCAGCTGGTAATAACTAGTAAGAAAGTGAAATTGAAGAGACAAGAACCAAATGAATGAGTTATACAATATGAGACAAGAACAAATACGGATCCTGCACATATTCTCTATTCGGAACGCATTTGTTTTATTCCTTGAAACTAAATTTTGTTCTTATATTCACATCGATTGAAAGTCGATCGCTTACTTTACCGTCATTTTAAATTATAATGTGAGCCACGTTCACGAATGACTAACACAATCGGTTCCTTTTACGTAGAGAAAGGTTCTTATTTACCTCTTCGACTCTTTTTAAAATGTGAATATGTTACTGTAAAATCCAGAACTACGATAAATCCTAAGACTTATCAATGAAATCTAAGATTTAATAACGAGTTATGGTAAAAGTCCAAATTTAGAGCATTTACCACCATTCACTTTTTAAATCTTAAGACTTACTTCAAATACACGGTAAGCGTCGATAAATAGACATGTTTCACTAACAACAGAGGCGATCTGGCTCTAATGGTCACTGTGCTAACCTTTTTTTTTTTTTTTTTTTTTACGTGTGGAAATCCCCTCGGACCGTCACCCCTCCGGGGTTTGCGGCGGGGTGGTGTGTCGGACTCGGACCGACTAAAACCACACGGTGTGCCACTCTGCGCCTGTAACAGGAGGGATCCGGGAACAGCTGTTGTTAAGACATCCGGACCCCTCCTAGCGCCAGCCCGCTCCTGGTGCGGGCTCCGTCTCAGTATATTTTTCCTCTCTTTAGGCGACGTCCGGCACACGCGGACGCCGCCCCCTCGCGGCTGGCCAAACTAATGCGGGTGGAGGGGAAACCCACCCCGTCCACCCGCGGCCACACTCAGGGCGGCATGAGGCTGTGATAGGCGGGCCTCCGCCGCCCGGTTCGCCGGCGGCGGATCGGGTCCGAGTGGAGGTCGTCCTCCCGGGCCCTCTCCGCCGCCTCCTTCCGCGAGATTACTACCTCGCAGAAGGTTGCGACCGCGGTAAAACAACTGTCGCTACCGGCCATGGAGCGTACTACGACCGGTAGCGAGAGATCCACTCCGATGACTGCAGTGAGGGCCCGGCGCTGCGCCGCCCATGCGGGGCAGACCGCCAGCGTGTGCTGGGCCGAGTCCTCACTGCAGTCGCAGTGGTGGCAGGCGGGACTCAGTTCCCTCCTAGCGACCGTGTGCAGGTACTTTCCGAAGCAACCGTGCCCGGAAAGCACCTGCGTCAGCCGGAAGGAAAGGGTCCCGTGCTGCCGCCCTGCCCACTCGGCGATGACCGGCTGGAGAGCCTCCACGGCGGCGAAGCCAGCGCGTGGAGTCTCCAGCCGGAACGACCAACGAGCCATCGTGGCTCGGCGAGCGGCTTCGCGCCACTCGCGCACATCCTCGGGCGGAGGGCGAAATCCGCTCTCCGCCCGGAAGTCAGCCACTCGCCGATAAACTTCGGCGAGCACTTCCGCCTCCAAATCCCACGGGGGAGTTCCGGCCAATGCGCATGCCACCTCCGTCGAAACGGTGCGGTAACCGCGTATGGCTCTGACCGCCATTACCCTCTGAGGGCGCCAGAGGCGTACCCTATTCTGGGCGGTCAGAGCCGCCGCCCACACCGGTGCACCGTACAGTGCCATTGACCGGACAACCCCCGTGTACAGCCGTCTTGTCGCGACGCTGGGTCCACCCATATTGGGCAGAAGTCGCCCTAGGGCAGACGCAGCGCCGACCAGCTTTGGAGCAAGCTGTCGGAAGTGCTCGTCGAAGAGCCACCTCCCGTCGAGGATCAGGCCCAGATATTTCATCTGGGCCCGAACCGGTACGAGGACCGAGTTGACCACGATTGAGGCGCCAGGGGGTGGACCACGACGGGGCCCATGGAATAACAGGGCCTCCGTCTTATCTAGGGCCACCCGTAAGCCCAGCGCCTCAATGCGCCCGACCACCAGGGAGACTCCCCCTGTGGCCAGGCGCGCCGCCTCTTGGAAGTTTGCCCCCCGGGCTGTCACGAGGGTATCGTCTGCGTAACAGATTACACCCAGCCCGGGGGGGAAATCGGCGCGAAGGGCCCAGTCGTACCCTATGTTCCACAAGAGGGGTCCAAGAACAGACCCCTGTGGAACACCGCACGACATGGGCCGACTCCTCAAATTACCTTCTCGGTCCTCGTACACGACGGTACGCTCCTCTAAGTAGTCTGCCACTAGCCGCCTCAGGTACTTTGGCACCCCATGATAGTGGAGTGCTTCCCTGATGCAGCTGAATGGCAGACTATTGAATGCGTTGGCGATGTCTAATGACACCGCCAACAGCACGCCGCCACAGCTCACTGCCTCTTCGGTCACGGCCCTCAGGCGCAACACGGCGTCGACTGTCGAACGCCCCGCCCGAAAACCAAATTGGGCGTCCGACAGATCGGGGCCCACCTCGCAGAGGTGCCGGACGATGCGGGCAGAAAGAACCCTCTCAAACAATTTGCCCGCCTCGTCCAGCAACACGATGGGCCTATAGGCCGCGACCGAATCGGCAGGCCGTCCCGGCTTCTGCAGCAGGACCAGCTTCCCGCATTTCCAGCACTCAGGGAAGCGTCCGGACGCCAGGCTAGCGTCCAACACCCCCCTGAGGTGGTCCGACATGTAGTCGAGGGCTCGGGCCATCACTCGGGCTGGAACCCCGTCCGGCCCGGGGGCGGTGTTCTTGGATCGAATCCGTAGAACAGCCGCCCCCAACTCCGATTCCCTGAC